AGGAAACGGCTGGCAGTGAATGAGACGCATTTGAGACGAAGGGCTTATTTTTGAATGGGGGGGGGGGAGGTTAGGTTTTGTGTTTAAAAAAAGTCCAGGACGAAAGTGACGTCATCAAACCAGACACGGAGCAAAACAGGCTGTAAGTTCAGTGAACTTCACATCCTTTTTTCAGGAGGAAAGAACCTCCATAAATTTGGCCATGTGGTAAGTAGCAGCTACGCTAGGGGAGAGGAGATTCGGTGGTGATGTCATATATGTCTGATTTGTAGTCATGCTGATTATGAACTTTTACAAACTGATAAATGTCAGTACATGGCTGGCGTGGTCAAATTACACATTATTAGTTTCCATTTAAATAGAAGTACAACATATGTGCGATTCAGGGCGTGAGGCAAAGCGGATTAGAAAATAGCTATAAAGTCTATTCCATTCTATTCTATTCAGTATGTAATTGTCCTCCTAAAATGACACCAGTAAAATTCTAGAGCTTATCTGATGACATCTTCATGGATTTTCATCTTGTTTGAGCACAAATGGTCTGTTTCTCAAGTCCCTATTCCTTCAACAGCTAAAAGGTTTTCCCAGTTCAAGCTGGGAGCACACATATGATCAGGGTCCCCATTCTAACCAGTGTTCCTCACCACCGGTTTTACCTCTAGACCAGTGATTCTCAATCCTGGTCCTGGAGGTTCAGAATCTACCATGTTTTAATTTAAATCCTGTTTCATCACACCTGATTTCAACCAGCAGGCGATTAGCCGACTTTTGCAGAGCCTGATGAGTTGCTGCTCAGGTGTTTCAACCACTGAATCAAGCGTGTTGAATAAGAGAAACCACTAAAACGAGCTGGATAGTGGCCCTCCAGGACCAGGAATGAGAACCCGTGCTCTAGACCAGAGGTATTCAATTCCGTCCTGGAGGTCCGGTATCCAGCTCCTTTTACTGGTTTCTCTTATTCAACACACTTGAAACGCCTGTGCAGCAGCTCATCAGGCTCTGCAGGAGCTTGTTAATCGCCTGCTGGTTGAAATCAGGTGTGTTGGAACAGAGTTAAAACTAGAACATGCTGGATACCAGACCAGAGTTGAAAACACCTGCTCAAGATCAACAAACCCAAAAGATCCACGAAAGCTCTCAGCCAGCGGGTGTTGTGCTCTATGTTGTGTGGGTGGTCGTTATGGCCCTTTTTACACTACGGTCAACTCGGCCTGGGCAGGGTTAGGGTTACGGTTAACCGCGACACGTCCAGGTTGTGTTTACATGGCCTTGTCAGGAAAGTGGACGTCGTCGAGGACATGAGTGGGTTCCACTAAAGTGGTGCAGAGAAGTCTGGGGTCACATTTTTTGGCGCCACATGTTAGATAAACATAAGCGGCCGTGAGCACGGCCAGTTGAGACAACTGGGGTGTGACAGTTAAAAAGAATGGAGGACACCAAAGTACTTTTACACCATTCTTGGTCTGTGGCTCTTTTTGAGGAACAAACTCCACGCATGAGATGCCTGGTTGCCATCTGTCAATTTGGATTAGTTCAGGCGCTGTTCTGTGACATCACTTCACACGCTTCCCGCCAGGCCACTACGTCGGTAGGCGTGAGAGTGACATAACTTCAGTGGATCAGTCAGTCCAGGTGGGTGTGTAGGACCGCCTCGGCACAAAAGGAATCGCTGGGAAGCAGGGCTGAATAAAAGCGGTTGGCTCTGCAAGAACAACACATGAATAATGCCAACGTGAGTGCGCTGAGCCTTCCAGGGCCAGACTGAGTTGACCGTAGTGTAAATGAATGCACCATATGCCTAATCAGTGTAAAGTACTCATTGTGTTCTGTTGGTGAACGTCTGGGAGCACGCCCTCCTGAAAGCTGACACTGATGAACTTTATATAGACAGCAGCATGGGGGGGGGGGGGACGAAGCAGTGCTCCAGAATGACACGAGAAACTTCAGACTCATGTTGGAACGCCACCTAATATTTTATGCTAACTTTATTACTTGGGAATAAATAAATGTATATAAACAGAGAGAGAAATGAGCAAAGACATTTATTGTAACCAGGAAAGGTTATTTGATTAGTGACCGGCTGCAGAAATGGTCACAGTTTCACGTGTTAGCTGAGTTTCTCCTTCGTGACCAGTTAAGAGTTGGTGAGCCTTGTCGGTACGGAGAGGTTTCTGTCGTTCTGAGCACTGACTGTTCTCAGTGTCTTCTCAGGAGTCCCCCTTGCCTTCTCTATTCTTAGTGAGAAGTAACTGAATCTGCCGTGTGATCTCCCACCAGAACGTCACAGTGTAGCATACCTCGTTCCTCCTGCACCGCTCATGGATTTCTTTTTCTTTCTTTTGTGTTTTCCAAGCGAGTGAAATAAAAACAAGATGCAGATACACTTTGAAGGCTTTTTAAATCATTTTACCTCCAGTCTTGAATCCAGCTGTTGTAGGATAACAACCTTTTAATGCTTACTGTTTGGCTTTATGCTGTTGTGTTTGCTGCCACACTTAACTTTCATGTATTTTATTATTTTAATTTATAGAATGAGATTGTTGCTACATCTTTATTTTTACTTTTTTTTAATGCAGATTTTCTTATCAGCGTTTGACAAGACATTAAATGTAGTAGACTAAACCAAACTAGTCTCATTGATATGGATGACATATTACTGATGCAGTTTGTACCAGGAATGTCACATTTGACTTTCATTACTATATGAAGATTCTTTCTACTCGTCTGGTTGAAGAAAGGTCTGTATCTTTTTCAGTTTTCCAGGCCCTTTTGACATCTGCCTTCCTGCAGAGACCATTTCTGATTACGTTGCAGCAAGCAATACATCGATTACCTGATGAACGATGCATCTCTCAGGCTCACCCGCTCATTCTCTCCATTTGTCCCCCACTTGTCCTGTTTCTGTGTTCTTGTAGAACATAAAACACCAGGCCAGTACACCAAGTTTGTGATGAATAGCTCTTTTCAGATCAGCTTCTTCCAGTGGAAAATACTTTTTATGTTTTTCAAACTCTATCTCATTAAACTGTAGAAGTACAGTGAGCCGTCGTTTATCGCGGTAGATGCGTTCCAGACCTGGCCGCGATAGGTGAAAATCCGCGAAGTAGGGACTCCATATTTACAGTATTTATTTAACAGGTATGTATTCAGTATTCAGACTTTTAAAACCCTCCCTTTACATAGTACTGTATTTTTACTTGTTTTTTTTTTATAGTTTTATTACAAAAAGTGCATTTTATGATGAAATTGATGAAAAAAAAACAGGAATTTCTAGATATTTCGCATAGAAAAATACAGCGAATCGGTGAAAAATACCGCGAATCGGCGAATTTCCCTTGAATAAGGCTCCAAAGAAAAAATCCGCGAAGTCGTGAATCCGCGATAAACGAACCGCGAAGTAGCGAGGGATCACTGTATCTAAATTAAAACAACAGAATTATGGGTATTTGTTTAAAGTGACAATGTGTAATTTTTTACAGTTAATCCCTGGAAATATCCATTGAAATGTTGTAGTAAAGAACTAAAAGTTGCCCAGTTGTTGAAAAATATTGGCAGTTTTAAAACACATAACCATTAAAATCTGTTCTAAAATACATGGAGCGGGTCTGAGTCTCTGGGCGACGCCATATTGGATGCCATGTTTTCCGCTACGGAAGTCTGTGAGGACTAAATGCGTTTTCTGATTTGTAACAAATGGTTACAAAACTTTCACTATCAATAAACATTGTTGCTTTACACATTTATCTCTTCACTCATTGCCAGTGATGAAAGGTGGCGCTACCAGGGATTTTTGACCCTGATGGTCATCCGTTGGTAAGGTCTTATTTGAACACAAAATGATGCTTGCTTGCAGTGTTGTAGGTATATACTGCCCCCTATTGCCAGGGAACCCCTACACTGTCACTTTAATAAAAATTTTATATTAATTGCCTGTTTTCTGTAAAGACCATTTAACTCTTGTTAAAAAGCAGCAAATGTCCAAAGAATAACTTAAAAAATCTGTTATGTAATCAGATTTAAAGGCTTGCAAGAGACCTTAAATAAAAAAAGTTAAAAGTAAGGACTGGTTTCAGATTTTTTTATTCAAGATTAACAAGCCAATAGAATTTAGATGCACCAGAAACAACTCGCCTTAATGTTTTGAACAGATGCAGAACACAGAGGTGCTTTTTTGTAGGGAAGGTAAAACTACAAGTAATTACAGTAAAAAACAGAGATGCAATGAAATGAAATATATTCATTAAAATAAGTTAAATAACTGTGATGATTATTAATTTCAGTGTAACTGTTACGAGATTATTAGAGTAGAAGTTATTTTTTTCTGTATTCTATAATGTGTTTTTTCTTGATCATGCTCTATTCAGCTTTTACACAGTAGGTTTAAAGCGGAACGTCACTCATATTTTTGGTCTCTAGGAATGATTTGTAAGTCGTACTCTGGGGAATTAAATCTCTGGTGTTTAAGCACGGAGGAGTCAGCTGGAGGAGAAAGTAGCTTCAGATTGCAGGATAAGGAATCTTATTTCTTGATATTCGAACATCTTGCTTCGAATTGACTAACAGCAATGCGACTCCACCACTGACTCTATTTAACCTGCAACACTGATGTTTTATCTCCACAAATAATACAAACCTGAAGGAGTTCTGCCGTGTGGTGTAGTTGCTAATGCTAATGGTTAGCTTTTACTAGCCAAGACGTTCTCTGCTGTTTCCTGGACACTAAACCAACAGCAGCCTTTCCCGCCGTGAGTCTAGATGGGTGAATCCATGAATGTTTAGTGACAGTGCGACGCAGGTCTGTCAGGCTTTTCAAATCCTAGAGTTTCTATCAGAAGCAAATGCAGGAGATAGGTGTAGGAGACTATTTTCATGTTCAGCCTGCATGAAAAACTCTTGACCAATGATTTTCAAAAATAATAAGTAAGAATTTTTTCTCAGTGAAGCTCCTCTTGTATATTGTTTTATCTCCTATGTTTTTAAATATTATTATTCTTAAACAGTTGGTCTTAAAGAAACTGGAGTCCGTGAAGCCCACGCCTGGCCTATCGCGTTCAGAACAGCTGGCGGACTACCAGCGCCTCACCGGACGTCCGGCTGCTTCATCACGTCCCAGCTTCAGACCCAGCACTAACCGAGGGAGATCTAGCAGTAGAACATCTACAGGTATAACTACATTTGTTAGCAAACCACTTTTACAATCATGTTAAAATGTTTTACAAGTTTGAAAGTTGATGTAAATTCCTGCTTAGAGACTACCGCACTAAAGTGCTAACCTGTCCAGCGTAAAGCTGCAGCTGCACACCAAAAACACTTGTTTACAGCTTAACGTCTCATGATTTAGGAGCAGTTTGGTGTTGCTTTTGTTCATTTTTAGTCAGCGTACAGAAAGATCAGCATGCAGCTGTGAGCAGGATTCCTCTCAAACTGAGGGAGCAGATTTGTCACATGTCTGAGCGGCTGCTTCCAGATGGCAGCAAAAATTAGATTAACTAAAAGAGAGGTCATTTAGGCAGAGTAAAGCAGCTGTAGCCTCTTCAAACATTCATTTATTTATAGATCATTAACTGGTTTGCTGCTTCTATTTTTAGCATATTTCTCTCTTTCATGTTTTTGTTGCTTCGTTTGAGAACCATTTCAAATAAAGCACCATGAGTAACAGCTCAGTCATACTGTTGTAAACAAAATAAATACTTTTGCAAGTTTCTGTTGATTGAAAGAAATCTTGAGCCTGTCACTCTTTCATTTTGTTTGTCAGCGTTTACACATCCCAGACCAGGCAGCTCCAGATCATCCTTCACCAACACGAGCTCCAGCAGCACACCTGTACCTGGGTCGAAATCACCCTAGTTCAGCCCGCCCACCTAGAGTCAAGAAGGCATCTCTTTACCAACATCAGATTCAGGACTTTTGGCTGGCGACAAAAGTAACAGTGAACTGTTCGAATATATTTGAAAACACAAATTTATTTCAAAGGCAAAAAAAAAAAACATTTAGGTGCTTTGCTATTTTAAGAGACGGTATACTTACTGTGCGTGAGCCATTTTCCTCCCATGGCAAGTCAAGCAGGTCAATTTGTGAGACAACAAACTGTTTTATAGATTAAATCTTTATTAATAAATTAAAGTTTAAGGAGCGATACATGGGTCAGAGTGGTCACTACACATCATATGGGCCTCAGCAGCTGCTTGACAAAGGTAACTGTATCATAATCTGTGTCACGCGTCATCTCCACCTGCTGTCGCGCTGGAGGACAACCTTTATGGTACATAGGCTATATATTTGTATATACACACATTTCTGATGAGACACAGACCCAGGTTCGGTACCCACTTTCCTCAGGCTGTTGTAGCCTACGTGCCCATACTGCGATTCACCAGGCTGGTGCCACTGCATCACAAACATAAGACTTAAACGAAGTGGAGGGTTTCCTTGGGGACTGGGAGTGTGAGTTTAGTATGAAAACTTCTTGATTTCATCGTACAAAACCAACACGAAAGCCCCGCCCATTCCTCTGATCACGTTGGACCAGGCACCCTTGAAGAAAGCTCGTGAGCCCTCGTCTTTGAGGATCTTCCTCCAGCAGTCGATTGTGCCCTTGTACATGATGTCAGCTGTGGGAATGGAAACGTTTGTAAATTGTGCAACAGTGGCCAAATCAATCAAATCGGAGGCTAGAGAGATGCTCACCTCCTTTGCGTCCTGACTGCATCATCATACGACGTCTTACAGTGTCGAAGGGGTATGAGACCAGACCTGCCGCGGCAGTGACGGTCTGCGCAATCATCCAGCTGATGATGATGTGTGTGTTCTTGGGATCTGGCAGCATGCCTGTTTTAAAGGAGCGATTGGGTCAAAAACATTCATGCAGAACGTGAGGATCAGGTAGATCAAGTGCAACAGCAGCACACACCTTTAGCTGTGTCGAAGCATCCAAAGTAAGCCGCTCTGTAAATGATGATACCCTGCACGGACACGTTGAACCCCAGGTAAAGACCCTTCAGACCGTCGGTTTTAAAGATCTTGGCGATGCAGTTTCCGAGACCGGTGAACTCTCTCTCAGCGGGACCCTTTCCGATGTCAGCAGCCAGTCTTGTTCTGGCGAAGTCAAGTGGATAAACGAAACAGAGCGAAGTGGCACCAGCAGCGCCGCCTGACGCCAGATTACCAGCGAAGTAACGCCAGAACTGTGTTTTTTGATCCACGCCACCGAGGAAGATCTTCTTGTACTTGTCTTTGAAGGCGAAATTCAGGGCTTGGGTTGGGAAGTAACGGATTACGTTGGCCAGGTTGCCTCTCCAGAATGAGACGAAGCCCTGTTCCTTTGGGATTCTGACCACACAGTCAATGATTCCTTTATATTGCATCTCAGCTGTGATCTGCTTGCTGGCATGCTGCACCTGTTAAAAAAACATTGAATAGGACGTTTTCACTTGTACAAAATATGGTTTTTCAAATTAAGATATCAAGAAAACTTTTTTCCTCACTGCACATTTTCCAAACTCACACTCCAGCCACTTGAGACTCCACGGTGTATTACATTACATGATGCAAGTTAAATTTAGCAGTTCTCTTTTACACGATGGTCTCTTTTCTCAAAGAAGCATTAATTAAGCAAAAAAGCATTAAACTTTTTCGAGTATTGCGGCGATTTTTATGTCGGCACGTATCAGAAGGTCTTTCCACTGACTCACGGAGCTGTGCGTAAAACTATCCCCCCAGTGACGTCTCACGTGTCCTTTAGCGTTACGTACAAGACCATAAGAGCAGTCTCGGTGTACAGCTGGACATTTTCTCTGTTTAAGCAAATCCCATTTTAACTTTAATGTCAGACTTTTAAGAAAAAACTGTGACCAATAAACTACGCACATATTATGCACAAAGCAGCTGTTGTGCGACTGGTGCCTCCAACAGCTGGTTCAAATTCTTTACCTGCAGCAGCAGCTTGACTCTCTCAATGGGAGCAACAGCTGTTTTGGAGATGGCAGCGGCGATACCGCCGGCCAAAAAGTCCTTCATAAAACTAACCACCGCGTCCGACATAGCTGGCTGTTCCTAGTGCAGCTGATCCAGACTTAACCACAGATCCTTAAGGAAACCCTACGCCCCTCCAAGTGGACGAGGCACCCCCAGCTGTTCTTATATATGGGGGGCATTCATCGCGAGAATTTTGAATGATGGATCTGCAGTTTGTCAAACAGAAAGAGGAGGCTGAATAAATATCCGAGGTTGGAGTTCAAGTTGTGCGCCATTTTTTTATCCGGAGCCAGGAGCTGGGGTGGCCTAACCGGGGGGCATTTAAAGGACACTATGCGATGAATCTGGTCATGTTTATAACAAAAATATTTACAATGACAGTTAGATGGTTGGTTAAAGTGGACATTCTCCTCCTAACGAGGAGGTCAGGAGAGACTTCTGAGGCCAGGAAATGGAGGAAAGAGTGCATCTCAAGTGGCAGCTGCTGCTTTTAAACCCCAATTTATACTTTTTAATACTTTTAAAAAGCAAGTCTGATTGGCTTCATATATCCAAGTACATCCAAGTTTGATTGACGAAGTGTGGGAATAAATCTTTTTATTCTATATTTGTAATATGCTCAACCATGAGTCCAACCTCTACCCTTAGCTTGTTTAAGGGCTCTCTCAACCCACCAGCAGGCTTGAGGATGATTTCGTTTGAGACCTGTGTGAAAAACCGTTTCAAGGCATTCATTTAGTAATGGAGGTCTACGACATTGCATTCTGTACAGCTCTGTTGTTAAATGTTCAATGTTTAATCTGTCAGAGTGACTCGAGGGGTGCCATGAAACGAGAGTACAGCGTGGTCCAAAGTTGTGAACCAGCCGAGTTGGCTCTGTTCTGTTCCTCTGGGAGACGCTGGGCATTACGTCCTGCTACAGCCGCATTCCCTCCAGTGTGACAGCAGGGATGTTCCCAATTAAATTCACACGGTTGGCCGTGAAAATTTTACAGATAGATTAAATGCACGCTTTAAATATTTTAGAACCTAAATGGACCCTGTCACAATACTTTACATAAAACAGTAAAATCCATGTTATCACCAATAAACGTTGAGAAAAGCTAAAATAATGGGTTTTATTGTCAGAACTTTAAAAACACATTTTCGAGGATTCTGTAGCCCTACCAAGTTTCAATGAAATTATTGAGAGGTCATGTGTGGAAATAATTGGTATTGCTAAGGCTGACTCTTCTTCTTCTTTGGTCTTTAGACACTGCTTCTGCTGGACGTCGATCACCATCTGATAGCAATTTAGTAGCATTACAGCAACAATAAAAAAAATAATTTTCTGATGGCTGTTCTTTCCTGATGAATAAAAACAAAAGATTATTTTTTTATGCTGTTGTAATCTTATATAAAACACAATGTACTGTTTTATTAAACACTCTTTTTGAAAGAGCCAGAATAATCTTGCTTCTATCCATTTACCTTGTGCTTATCCGGGGTCGGGTCGTGGGGCAGCAGCCTGAGTAGAAAGGCCCAGACTTCCCTCTCCCCAGCCACTTGGGCCAGCTTCTCTGGGGGAATGCCAAGGGGTTCCCTGGCCAGACAAGGGACATAGTTCCTCCAGCGTGTCCTGGGTCTACCTTTAGGTCTCCTCCTGGTTGGACGTGCCCAGAAAACCTCACCAGGGAGGCGTCCAGGAGGCGTCGTAATCAGATGCTCCTCTTTATGTGGAGAAGCAGCAGGTCTACTCCGAGCCTCTCGCAGATGATCAAGCTTCTCACCCTATTTCTAAGGGGAAACCCAGACGCCCTGAGGAGAAAACTAATTTTAGTCACTCATACCTGTTTTCTCATTCTTTTGATCACTATACCCAAAGCTTGGATGCGGGTTGGAACTCTCTCTTCACCACGACAGACCGGTACAACGCCCACATCACTGCAGACAGCAGAGTAATCTTTGGATTCTTAAAAGTCATCCCTGTGAGGTTATTCAGTTCATCACAAATTTACAATCCCAATGAAGTTCTTAGGGAAGTGTGTCTTAAACTTCCTTATAAAACACAAATATTTACCATTATAAATGTTTTAAGGAAATTAAATTAATTGTGCAAGCTAGACAAATGTCGCCCTCTTATGATAACATATTACACAAAACACAAAAATGTACTCTGCATTTTTTGTAATATTTGAGTAAAGGTTTTCCCCTTAGTAAATCATTCTTAACTTTGGCTCTAAGCATTTTACATTATTTGATCTTTCAAACACAATTCTGGTCTAGAGTACGAAGAATGAAGACGGATTTCAAAAAGGAAAACAAAACAATTTCACTTCACTGTGTATCACCTAAATGCCCCCTAAATCACATAGGTCCGCACAAATCATTATATCACACTAGAAGTTATTTCTATTGAAATTGGTTCAGTTTTCAGATGTGTTGTGATGATGGCGCCGTTTTCTAAACTGAAGGAATGGATTCTTACCACTTTAAAATAAAGCTCCTGACTCCTGATGGGTAAACTTCCCATTAGAGTTGGTAAAATAATTTAAACTGAATTGACACAACAAACATTTATAATGTGAAAGAGTGTTGATGTATAACTTGTAAAAAATTAAGTTTTACTTGGTTTTAAGAATTAAATATTAAAACTAAAGTGAGAATTCTTTGCTTTTTGGACTGTTATTTTCATCTTCTGGCCACATGGAGGCGCTCCTTCACTGTGAGGATTTATGTCCAAACACAAAGTTCCAAAATGTCTTACCCCATGCTCTAACAGCAACATAAATGATAGTTTTCTGGGCTATTATATTTTAATTTTGTCATTAGGACAAATATTACTCTATAATTTATTATCTATATAATTCAGGTCAGCACATTTAATGCAAGGCAAAATTCAACACGCATATAAAAGCCATACGCAAAAGGGGAGCAGTTACAGTGCAGAAAGTGCAGCATAAGAAACATTTATTCCAGGTTGATGAATATATGAAGGTTTTTAAATTTGATTTAAAACTTACCAGAGTTAGGGCACATATGAGGTCATAGGAAGCTGATTAAATCTGTGTGCAGCATGGGGTTTACTAACTGACTGTTTCATCTCAGAGCTCTGCTGGGTGTATGTACTGGAAGGAGATCCAGCATGTACTTTGGCCCCATGCTACTGGGAGATTTATAGACTATAGAAGCACTTTGAAGTCGATTCTGTAGTTGAATGGTAACCGGTATAAAGATTTAAGAACAGGAGTGATGTGCTCAGTTCTTTTGGTTCTTGTTAGGACTCTAGCAGCAGCGTTCTGTATAAGCTGCATTTGTTTTACAGCAGTTTGGGGAAGACCAGAAGACCATTGCAGTGGTCCAGAGATGAACGAAAGAATTTGTTTCTCTAAGTCATGTTTTGACATGAGACCTCTGAGTCTTGCTAATTGATGATGATAAAATGCTGATCTAGTTATAGCCTTAATGTGACCAGTGAAGCTCAGATCAGAATCAATCATAACACCAAGATTTCTAACCTGAGACTTTGTCTTTATTCCTTTGTAGCTAAGTTGGGAAATAACCTCCATCCTATCCTTCTTCTTTCCAAAGAAAGAACCTAACACAACATGCCACCCAGCTCCTGGTGCAATCTACTGTCATCTCCCACCTCGATTACTGCAATGCCCTCTAACTGCTCTTCCAGGCTGTACTGTGAGACCTCTTCAGATGGTCCAGAACGCAGCGGCGCGTCTCGTCTTCAATCAGCCAAAAAGAGCACCCGTCACCCCTCTGTTCATTGAGCTCCACTGGCTACCGCTAGCAGCACGCTTCAAATTGCTAACACTAGCATACAAAGTCAGAGATGGTACGTCTCCCATCTACCTGAATCCTCTTGCAAAGGCTTACGTCTCGGCCCGGCCAGAGCCGTGTCCAGGACTTTTAAAATGGGGTGGCCCATATGGGGCACTTGTTCATGCATGGGTGGCACCAATGGTTATGCTTATTTATGTATTTACACAAATCATTTATTTATTTATTTATTTACTTTCTTTTACATTTTTGAGTTTCACATTGCACAATCACCATTTTTTCTCTTCATCTTCTAGTTTTGTGGTGGTTAGCAAGTCACTTCTTGTTGCATTACTGCCACCAACTGGAGTTGAGTGGGACTCTAAATACTATTTATGTGAATATGAAAAAAAAAATAATACTACAGAAATGTTTTGTAGGCCTAGGCTAGAAAACAATGTGAAAGGTGCATGCAACCACACACCATTTTGGAGTTTACAACCCAAGCCTTTTGTCGACAATGTAAAGTCAGTTTGAACTGGAACTTAGTGGGGTGGCACCTGGGGTGGCCAATCCGATCCTAAGTGTGGCATGTGCTACCCCAGGCCCCTCCCTGGACACGCCCCTGGGCCCGGTCGCTCCGGTCATCACAAGATCGTCGGCTAGCAGTGCCTACACCACGCTCAGGACAATCCAGACTCTTCTCATGCATCGTTCCACAAATGTGGAATGACCTTCCAAGCACTACCAGAACAGGAGCTTCCTTTTCGACTTTCCAGAAACTCCTGAAGACCCTGCTCTTCGGAGAGCATCTTCTTAACTAGCACCCTCCCTGCACCCGTCCCCCCTCTCTGCTGTCCACTCCTTGTTCCCTCCTCTCTATGACTGATGTCAAGTTGTTGTTGTTATTGTTGTTGTTAGCCTCAAGGGCAACATGCCGATTATCACTTGTAAGTCGCTTCGGACAAAAGCGTCTGCTAAATACATAAACATAAACAAAGACAATAACTTCTTGTCTTGTCTTTGTTTAACTGAAGGAAACTTGATTGCATCCAATCGTTTTATCATTAAAAAAGTTTTAGACGTCTGGTTTTATTTTTATTCACCTATGATTTAAATATTTGTAGACAGTTATTTTTTTCTTAAAAAACAAATTGACCTCAAAATGAATATCTGTTTTTATTTATTATTTCCATTCCAACTCAAAAGCAAGTCAACCCATTTGTTGTCCCTGCTGCCTGTTATTGTGTATTACCTAGATTAATCAGTGGAGGGCGCTGAAGAGCCAAGTCCTACCACAGAGCATCACTGGTCTCCCCGGGGAGCAAACTGGTACCCAATAAAACAGGTGCTCTTACTTTCCACACAACAATAAAAATTAATGCACCACTTTATGTGTTCCCCACAGGGAGACACTCCTAAGTAGCTCTCACCAGAGGGGTC